GCCGTCAGCGGCGGCCGGCGAGCTGTAGGACCACCGGCCGCCGCTGACGGCTCGGTATCATGTGAGCATCAGAAGCATCTTCATCTTTCCTCCGTCTGCTGCCTGATGACATCATCATCCTGCTCGGTCAATTACAGAGCAGGATGATGACATCATCATCCTGCTCGGTCAATTACAGAGCAGGAAACAGAACCCCCCCTCTTACCTTGGCATTGCGGCTGAAGTGGCGGGACGCCAGCGGGTAGGCGGAGGACAGGGAGGAGGCGGAGGGCACGGAGGGCAGCGGGCTGTCAGAACCTCCTCCCCCTCCCCCGCTCTTCTCTGCTCCTCCTTCGCCCTCGCTGGCTTTGCCCCCCCCCAGGACCCTCCGGCGTAAGGAGGGGGAGCTGCCGGGGGTGCTGCGTGGAGAGTTACTGGCCGTACTGGAGACAGAGAACAGAGGGAACGCCATCAGAGAAGATCAGACGGGACATTTCAGACCAAACGCCGAGGAACAAAGGTCCCAGGATGGAGGAGCAGAACCAGAACCAGAACCAGCGACAGATCCAGTACTGATTCTACTGGGACCGGCCTGATCAGAGACCAGTAAAGATCTCCCAGAGACGTAAACCAAACCAGTTAGAGTCCAACACTGGGAGGTTCTGGATGAACAGGTCCATTCGGTGTCTGGTTCTGCTTCCCCCCATGAAGGGCAGCAACCCAGACCCGGTTCTGGATCAGTTATTCCCCCATTGAGGGACAATAAAGGATTTTCTATTCTACATTAAAGGCTCAGAAGAACCAGCAGGGTCATCATCATCATCATCCTCCTCTCCATCATCATCATCATCATCATCTCCATCCTCTCCATCATCATCATCCTCTCCATCATCATCATCATCATCATCATCCTCCTCCTCTCCATCATCATCATCCTCTCCATCATCATCATCATCCTCCTCCTCTCCATCATCATCATCATCATCATCTCCATCATCATCATCATCTCCATCATCATCATCTCCATCATCATCATCATCATCTCCATCATCATCATCATCCTCTCCATCATCATCATCCTCTCCATCATCATCTCCATCATCATCCTCCTCCTCATCTCCATCATCATCATCATCATCATCATCTCCATCATCATCATCTCCATCATCATCCTCCTCCTCATCTCCATCATCATCATCATCATCATCTCCATCATCATCATCTCCATCATCATCCTCCTCCTCATCTCCATCATCATCATCATCATCATCTCCATCATC